ATTTTCGTATTGCATAAATTCTGGAATACCTAAAAGTTTTGTTGACACAAGTATTTTCTGAATGTTTTTCCTTTATCTTTTGTTTGTTGGTGTGTTTTTTTGCATGGCATTACTCTGTTAGTCTTGAAACCCTTTCATTCATTTCTGCAAACTTTTCTTCCCAATCCACTTCTCTTTGCTCGACCTCCCATTGCACTTTTAGTCTGTATCGCTTGTTTGTGTAAGTTTAATGGAACTGTTGCCACTGCTTAATCAGTTGGTTCAGTCAGTTTTTGTGATTGATGTAAAAAGTGTTGCAGATTTCAGCACCATAGCAACAGTCATCAACTAATCATCCCCAAGTTAGCTCAAATCGGGAGGATGTCCGGTCAAACTTTAGATAGTCTTTATTACATTGGACAAGAGCAGTCATGGAAATTGACAAAAAGCATTGATCAGATCAACACCTTTCATCAAAATCTGAACCAACAAAGTGAAGTTGTCAACTGTCATACTCGGAACAATCTTGCAAGGACTATTGTTTGAGAAAAAAATTCTAGAATTGTCACTTTTTTCACGAGGAACAATACTGTCCCACTCTTCTTACATTGCCCGGGTTCTCCACTAAAATAACATCACGTTTATCATTTGGGGTTTTTTTTTCTGAACACAGCTCCTATCATCCCACTGGAAAGTGGCCTGGATTTCTCTCAGGCTCCGCCCACAGAAGTGGAAGTGCAGCCAGTGGAAGAGGAGGAGGAGGGAGACGAAGACGATGAGGATTCGTCCGGAAATGAGGGAGGCTATGACGTGTCTCAGGACCCAGAGGAGGCTGATGAAAGGGAGAAAAGCCTAGAGGCTGACTTGAAGGAAGCCCACATGCTGGTAAGGAATGGAGTTAGAAGGGATTTACCTTAGGCGGTATAGCCCAGATTCTGTGTGCGGGGGAGTTGTTTAAGGTCGTGGAGGTAAGTAGCAGAAAGTTTCACTAGCCACTTTTTCACTAGTTTGTGAAGTAGTGTTTCAGGGAATTGTGTGGGTCGAATCATAAAGTTTTCAAATAATGCATTCATTGAAATTTTCACTTCCGGATACTTCAATGCATGTGTCAAATGACACTTGCACTGACAGTGTCAATTCCAGGCATTTCAGCTCTAATTCTGTAGGTGGTTTTGACCCTTTTTGGCCGTGGTTCAACATGGGACATGGATGTTTGGAACTTGTTAAAACTCATGACTGTCATGGTTTGACAAAGTCTTGGGTTATCTCCATGGGAATGGGAATATTGGACCTGGCAGATTGATTGATGCTTCCATCGGAATAAAAGTCATATGGATCATTTTCAATGTACAGTATTTGTGTCTATTAATAGTATTTTAATAAGATTACTGTTTAAAGTAATGGGTAATTTGTTTTGATTGCAAGAAGCATAGACAAGACTTGAGTCTGACTCGTCTGTCCCTCTTGCTTTCATGTTTGTATCCATAGCAACAGCAGCAGGCGTGGTTTGAGCACATTCCAGACACCGACATGCTGGACACCAGCATGGAGAAATCCAAGATACAGCTGGTGACAGGCAACAACAGCATGCTGGCCAGTCGCAAGAAGCCCACCAAAGCCCACCTTGCCCAGAATGCACTGCAGTCACACAACTTGGTCATGAAGCAGCCAATCACAGAGGAGGTAAGGGAACCCAATGTGATTGGCCAGGAACACGGACACAGCCTCTGTGCACTCCTCTGTTCTTGCCTAAATTGATTCTACCAAACTCAGGCCTCGATCTTGGGGAAAAAAGGGGCAGGCCACTTTGGCCTTGCCTTCATCAAATTTCAACAGGGCACCAGGCCAGCTCAAGGGGGCACCAAGGCCAATTATTTGTGAAACCATTGATTTACAATTTTGACCACCAATCATGTCATGAGTAAGACCTATAAGCTATTGCTCAGTTCTTGCACACCATGCCATCCCCCTTCAATAAAGGCGTTTATCATGCTGCTATTATTTGTCGCATTCCCTGTATAAAATTGTAATGTTCATTTTTAATTAATTACAATTACCCGGACGATTTTTTCCTTCCAAATCCAGCCTCTGATTTAATGCTTGCTAAGATTTTGTATCCCTTTCCCATTAGAATTCAAGGATTCCCAACCCGCTTAAACTAAGTTTAAAATATAATAAATAGTGTCTATCCTTTTATTTAAATGAAATGGGGATCCTTAAAATGTTTACTTTTTGCTAAATGGTTACGGAAAACTCCGATCTAGTCGGCATCGTGCAACTCATAAGTCGGCCTTTTGATAAAAGTACCGATCGTGTGTTGATGCTTTTCCATTGATCATTTTTAAGTGGGCCTTTATAAGCTGTTGTTTCATTTAAGTCGGCATGTTCTCTCGGTTCCTTTTCCATAAAATCACAAAAAAAATCCTCGGTATAAAGTGGGCTGTAAGCAAACGGTATTAAGGCAGCATGCCATGTAAGTCGGCAAGCAGCACTTCGGCATTTCAAAGTCATTATTTTTTCGAGTTTATACTGAGTGCCGACTTTGCCAGAGTTTACAAGTTTATGAATTCTTAATCCCTACTTTTTCTGGAAAACAGGTTTTCAAGCTTCTGACACTTTGAGCCCACCTGTAAGATAGCATCCTTTTAGCATTTCTTTATACGATCGTGCGATCATGACGGCATGATTTTGAGATAAAGGCCTAGGCCTAGCCAATGGTCAAAACTTATTCTTAACACAATAAGCGCTCGCCTGGTTTCCGACTTAGTTGTGCAAATTTGCATTCAAAATACGCTGCTCACCGGTGCAGAGCTGATAATGATATCCAAGGCTGCGTTCGCGCGGTTACTCCAGATAACCCAAGTGTGGATGCACGGGTCAGGCGTATACTCCTGGTCCTCTGTGATGGTCAGTATACTCTCGCTGACCCGAGGACGGTACTCCTACCGTTCGTGGGCTCGGGATAGTACTCGGGTTAGCACGAGTAGGTTGAACTCGCCTCAATTCGGAATCTCATTGCATGCATTGGCTTACATGGTACACTCTCATTACACATACAGCCGGCTGCAAAGGGGGAAGGGCACGCTGGCCAAGGTGGCCGCGCGATGTGAGTCTTTTGGAAGGGTATTACGGCCAACTTGGAAGGGCACACGGTAAAGATCGAGGCCTGCAAACTGTTTCAAGTGCAAAAATAGAGATGACTCAAGATATAAATCATTTTTCATCATCTGGACACCTCCTGTAAATAAGAACTGTTCCACTTTCCAAACTGACCGATATCTTTTCCTTGCAACTCTTCTCTCAAGGTAATTGATGAATCATAAGTTTGTGTCCTGTGGAAGCTGGCTTATTTTAACCAGGCATTTAGGGTGTCAAACTTGGAATCACTTTAGCCGAAGGTAGATGTGTAAACAGTGAAACCGAAATTGTTATTTTGATTGCAGTTCACTTTTGCTTTTGCCCTTACATCNTTATAAGTCGGCCTTTTGATAAAAGTACCGTGTGTTGATGCATTTCCATTGATCATTTTTAAGTGGGCCTTTATAAGCTGTTGTTTCGTTCAAGTCGGCATGTTCTCTCGGTTCCTTTTCCATAAAATCACAAAAAAAATCCTCGGTATAAAGTGGGCTGTAAGCAAACAATCGATTTCTGGAGCGTCGTTGTCGATACTGACATGGAGTAGGCCTACATGTACATTGCATGCGCATGAGCGCGACCACAAAGGGGTTTCCCCAATATTCGCATCAATATCAGTACCCCCTCTAGTGCAGGCGCATGCACCCTGTCCCTTTTTGGGGGTCACCCTATTGAACAAAGTTTTATTTGCGGCCAGCCCCCAAGATCTTGCGTGCACACGCGCCGTGCCGGTGCATGATATGTGTGCTGTGCATGCTAGCATTATGTCAGTACAAACGGCATGCACGGGTCGTCCTCAGTACGGACGGAGCGATGATCAAAATCGAGGACAAACTTACCTGAATCAACAACAGAGATAGAAATAAACCAGGGCAGATCAAAGCAATTAAATTGGTGCAATGAATTATATGGATGGTATTAAGGCAGCACGCCATGTAAGTCGGCAAGCAGCACTTGGGCATTTCGAAGTCATTATTTTTTCGAGTTTAGACTGAGTGCCGACTTTGCCAGAGTTTACAAGTTTATGAATTCTTAATCCCTACTTTTTCTGGAAAACAGGTTTTCAAGCTTCTGACACTTTGAGCCCACCTGTAAGATAGCATCCTTTTAGCATTTCTTTATACGATCGTGCGATCATGACGGCATGATTTTGAGATAAAGGCCTAGGCCTAGCAAATGGTCAAAACTTATTCTTAACACAATAAGCGCTCGCCTGGTTTCCGACTTAGTTGTGCAAATTTGCATTCAAAATACGCTGCTCACCGGTGCAGAGCTGATAATGATATCCAAGGCTGCATTCGCGCAGTTACTCCAGATAACCTAAGTGTTGATGCGCGGGTCAGGCGTATACTCCTGGTCCTCTGTGATGGGGAGTATACTCGCGCTGACCCGAGGACGGTACTCTTGCCGTTTGTGCGCTCGGGATAGTACTCGGGTTTGCACAAGTAGCTCGCTCCAATGCAGCCCAAAAGGTTGAACTCGCCCCAATTCGGAATCACACTGCATGGCTTACATGGTACACTCTCATTACATATACAGCCGGCTGCAAAGGGGGAAGGGCACGCTGGCCAAGATGGCCATGCGATGTGAGTCTTTTGGAAGGGTATTACGGCCAACTTGGAAGGGCACACGGTAAAGATCGAGGCCTGCGAACTGTTTCAAGTGCAAAAATAGAGATGACTCAAGATATAGATCATTTTTCATCATCTGGACACCTCCTGTAAATAAGAACTGTTCCACTTTCCAAACTGACCTATATCTTTTCCTTGCAACTCTTCTCTCAAGATAATTGATGAATCATAAGTTTGTGTCCTGTGGAAGCTGGCTTATTTTAACCAGGCATTTAGGGTGTCAAACTTGGAATCACTTTAGCCGAAGGTAGATGTGTAAACAGTGAAACAGAAATTGTTATTTTGATTGCAGTTCACTCTTGCTTTTGCCCTTACATTAACAGTCAGTTGTTTTGAAGCACTACAGGGAAGATTGTTTGAGTAACATGTATCGAGAGGCTGTTTTCAATCACCTTTTGATTTTGTTTCTGGGTCTGGTCAACTTTTGAAACAAGTCTTTAATTGTTTGTGTGGTACAAATCGAGCGTTAGTAAAATCATCGACACAGTCACTGTCCATCCAACTTTGATGAGTTGAATCAGTGAGATATACATCTACTTGTCCGAGTGCTGTGCATTCTTTTTCTTCCTAATTGTAGAAATGTGACAGGCCTCCCTCTGTCTTCTGCTTTGACTTTCTTTATGAGAAGCTCCTGAGTCAACTGAATCACAAACCGTCGATAGTGAGTCTGTGGTCTGCCCATCCTTTTCAAGCTTGCCTGACCAGCTAGTTGCATGCTTGAGATGAATCGCTGCATGCTGTCCAAGTTCTGATGGGGCTGTTAACCATTTCCGGGTCTATTTTACTTCCCCCAAATTCTAGCAGCGAAGCCTAGATCATTTGACAAGCAATGGCAGCCCCAGACAAGGCAGGCATCCAGTCTCTGTCCCGAATCTTCCAGTGAATGGCTCCCCCCTGCTGAGACACAGAGAAGTGTCCAGTCGGGGCTCTCCCACTTCTACCAGAGTACAGGTGCTACCAGGGGGTGCCACAGTGCCATCTAGAGATGTGAGATCATCACCCAAAGTGCCTCCAAAAAAGAAGAGTAAACCAGATATACGGGTCACGACTGGTGAATCGTCGTAAGTTGCCCTTGGTTTTTCTCTCTCTCTGCTCAATTTCCTCGAGAGTTTTACTGCTTCATTGGAGTAATTCTGATTTAAAAGACATACCAGCAGGTTAATATCGGGTTTTTTTTCTTGGAACCTTGGAATGAGAACAGTGACTGAATTTGACTGTATCTGAATAACATTACAACGGCTGGATAAGTCACATGGCGCCTATGGTATGGGGGGCCGCTAATTCGCGGCTATGGCTATTTGTCATAGATACATGTGTTTCTGCCAGCCACAGCCAAGTTGTTCAGACTCAGCCTTAGTAAGAAGCAGTATCAGATGACCCTTTTTTTTTACTTGGAGTTTGTTCTTTCAGAAGAGCTCTTAGCAGGAAATTTGATACCACTCTCCAAGCAATCGCAAACCAAAATTGTTATCATGGAGTTTTACCATCATTTAGCACAACCACCAAATACAGATTGATTACTGTCATTATAACTTATACCTGTCATTTTTTTCAAGTTCTAAATATTATTCACCGATTCATCAGTGACCATAAAACATTTCTGAAGTAATGGAGGCTTTTTTTAATGTTATTTTTAATCCTTGCATTTTGTTGCACTTATTCCCATTGCATTTTCTTGCAAGCTAGTCATTCTTCTTTATGGTTCTCCCAAAAGTATGTCCCTGTTTCAGGTCATTAAACGTTTCAAAGTTTTCTCAGGGAAGTTCTTGCCGTAGTCTGGGTTAAAAAGAACTCCAAATCAAAATGGCAAAAGTTCTCTGTCAGACCTCACAAGCTGGCCCAATTTTGAAAGGCTATCTCTGTCTGTCTTGCGAGTTGATTTCTTTGCACCGCATTATTCTGCTAGCGATAAAATGTGCACATTTGTAACAAAGCCAATAATTTCTCTTGTTGGGTGCAGTACTGGTTTGCATTTTTAATTGTAGCCCTCAAAAATATCCTCCTGAAATCCTGACATCATTTCTTGGTTGCTTTCTTCCTTTTCCTTTTTGTTTTCCTGCCTTCCCTTTTTCTTTACCTCTGCTTCTTCATCTCTTGGCATCTTACCCCCCCCCAAAAAAAATTGAAAACCTTGGCTGTCCTCAGCTTTACATACAGCCCCTGGATCCGCAGGTAAACACATCACAAAACACCTGTCATCCGTCTCTGTTAGTCCTTTCATTTCAGTTCCTTTTGGGGTTTTTTGTTTCTGGTTATTTTTTAACCCTGGATTAGATTCCCCAAGATTTTGCATGCTTTTCTGTTTGTTTGAGGGTTTTTTTTGCAGTGAGCATGGCTGTTTATTTTTCAAGAATGTGTTTGTTGTTTTTCACATTTTTAAATTTGATATTTCAGTCTTACCCTTGCTCAAAACCAACAGAGTAGCACATTTGTCAGGTTTGTCTTTTTGCCATGTACATATGAATGCTGTATTGTAAAGAGTTAGTTTGGTCTTCAAGAAATTTGGGGGCTCTTGTTTGACCCGATTGGTTTTTTTTTTTTTTTTCATTTTTTAGTGGAAGAGATAATTAAAAATAATATTTTCTCAGAAGTTAATGACAAAAATTGCACAAGTCTGGCTCAGTAACTGGCAGGAGAGAAGACACTGAATTTCAAGTTTTTGCTTCGTAGAATATCACTTTTCTTCACATTAATGTCAAATAATGACCCAACCCGTCCTGTATCTCGTTATTTTGGGGCCAATATACTAGCAACCCTGTAGAGTACCATATGGACGCCGTCTATAGACAGCTGATCAGGTAAGGTACCCCGTCTCCCATCCATGCATCCAAGTACAACATCTGGATTGTTGTCCTTTTATTTTTTAGTCTGAGATTATGAGATGAATCTTTCTTTGATTTGTAGGGCCTGCTGTTGATTATCGTCATGCCTGCAGCTTTTATTTTTTTTCCTTTTAGATGATGCATGTTTTTCTTGATGTAGGAAGGTCTTAAAATTTCCCTTTTCCATCCGTCAATGAATTAAACAACCTGGTATTTATAATAGTGGTGACCCATTGTTGGCACACGTTGTTAACATTCCAGAAATGTTTTTGTGTGTTTATAAATCATACTTATTGGTGAATTGTAGTATACAGATGATGAAGATGTCACTCGTCCACTTGTCCACAACTTCCATATAATTTCAATGCACCTCAATATACCATGGATAAATTCAGAGTGTTAAATGGAGCTTTTGAGTGACTGAAAATCTTCAAAGCCAAGATTGCCCATTCTTTCCCTATATTCAGATGGTGGATAAGATTTTGTCCAATCTGATGAATCATTGGATGGTTGTAAGGAGAGAAAATCAAGGAGTAGTTGATAAGTTCACATGCAGCAACCAGAGTTGTAGCTATGCTGGCCAGCACCGGCCGGTGCTGGCCACTACTCAACATTACCTGCCAGCACTGGGGATGAAAGTGAAGCTTGCCAGCCAGCACAAATTAAAATGTAACTGTTCAGCATTGAGAGAGAAAATGGGTTGTTTTTATTTTTCAAAAATTGTCAAGAACAGCCGGCACTACAAAATTCCTAGCTACAACCGCGGCAGCAACCTGCTATGTGAGATTACCTTGAAATATTATTGGACTTGGATAAGTTTCAATTTTAGTGGCGGTTGGAGATATAAGTCTTGAACTTGTGTTTATAATTAGTCAGACAGTAGATTGTTTCATTTTGCAGTTCCCTGATAATGTCAGGCTTCTTGGCAAGTTTTGCCAATCATACCTCTGCTTGCTCTCTACATCATCCAGAATCTTTGGTATCCACTCCTTTCTGGACTCTTTTAAGTTTCCATTCTTACTGACTTTCACTATGATTTCATTACAGAGCATGTTTGGAATGTTGACTGTACCATTAACTTTGAGTAGACTAGGAATAGTATGATGGAAACTGGTGTCAAATGTGAGAGAATCCAAAATGTCAGATGAATAATAAATGTTTATGAGTGCAGTGGAAGAATCATTTCATAACACGACAGATTGAAACTTTTTGCCGAGTGGCAGGAAACATTTTCATTATCAAATGAAATTATTCTTTCATTGTGTGAATGTGAAACTTTTGTACACAGCTCTTGAATACATCCTCTGTGTTTCAAGTCACGTTTTACTTTCACAAGTTCATGTAAAAGCTTGACACAAGGTTTTGACGTTCCAAGTTGCAACTGCAAGTTTGTCCCTTTTTTGTACTGCACCTTCCCTGCGTTTGCACACATGGTACAGCATTCTTTGACTGTGTGAGGTCACACATTGAACTATGTACAGGGTAGTCACAGCCTCTACCACGCACATAGTTTGTTATATTTTATGGGTATATTTAAAAGCTGCGCCGTTGAATAGATTAAATAAGAAAAACCGCACACAGTAGACGACTCATCATTCAGACGAAGGGGATTTATGCAGATATTGTATAGCACATGGTCCTATCTGGAGTCAACATGAGTTTGTGTACTAATTAAAGTGGTTTTGAGGTCCTTTTTTATGATGTTAAGTTTAACATTCTCATGACCTTAAATTCTGTTTAAAGGAACTTTAAACCGCCATTGCATAGATTAAGCGCATTATTAGCTTTGGCGAGGCTTGTTTCAAGGTGGCTCGCAGAAATTCCGAACAAGAAACAGTGATGTCACCTGAAAGAAACAAAGTACAAAGCAGCAGACAACATTCTTGACAAACGCCATTTTTTCTCATTATTCAACAAGTCCCTCACAACTGTGCATCTCTCTTTTCACAATTTAGTGGAAAGCACCCATTTTGAGTTTCCTGTGTTTTGGAGGCGACATAAAATTGTCCACTTATTCTTCGCCATTTTTAAATCAGCCCTGATCCAACTACCCCCTTCGCTTCTCATTTGATCAGAAGAATGACGTCACAAAGTCATAACTGAAGTCTTAAAAATGTCCAAGCAGAGATCCAAGCAGAAACATGTTGCTGGTCAGGGTGGCAAAAACCACACCCCCGGGGCCTGTTAAGTTACATAACCTTGCATATGTATGCTTACCATCAACAATAAAGGTACAGGGTATGCCTCTACCAGCATGCATATTGCACTCTTAAACTTGTCCCGGTAACAGTGGATTCTGCAACTCTGAATTACAAGTATAATTTGGATTCCAGAAAATTGGTGTCATTCAGCATGTTGTTAGAGTAACTGAATGCATTTGCATTGATTGAAGAATGGAGAAATTGTGCATGCTCATGGTCATTCTGTGTACACGTACTGTACATGTCCAACACTGCTGCCAATGACGGTATAATTCAACATGATGGCCTCTAGCAAAAACCTCAGATACCTTGTTGACTTGGGTTCAAAACACAACACACTGGACAGTTGCATGTTCGACGATTCAACCTTTTTCCCATCATGCATGATTGAATAAGACTAGCTGGTGAGAACAATTTACTATGTGTTTTACATTGATAATGAGTTGCATGCATTGTCATATTACAATGCAAACCGGTAATAGAATGTCCAACATAAAAACTGTATCCCTCTGCTTGTAAAAACCACTGTTCTTTGACAATACATATTTTTTGAAGGGTCGTTGGAAGAAATTCCCAATAAAAGTGTCATGAAAATTCGAACAGATTATTTTGAAATAATCTCTCTTATTTTTTCTCTCTTGAGAATAGCAATTTGTCCTGCATTTTCACATTTTAACACATGGAAGATCTTTCATTTTTAATTTCAATTTTCAGGTAGATTTTTGTTTCATAGAGGTTATATGTTAACAAGTCCTCAGGGCGAGAGCTTTGTATTACTAGGATAGGCTCGAGTTAACCTTTGGTGCATTCATTGTAACTAAATTAAAATAACAAAACCATCCTCTGAGACACCATGGAGATGCCAGTAACGCATAACCTCTATTATCTTCCTATTTCTTGAATGTCTTGATCTTTTCAGGTTTATCATTCAATTATATTCCTCTGTAGTCAGTTTATGTTGTAGAATTTTTGTTACATCACCTTACTGAAACTTGACCATTCATGTTCATGTACTGTGAATGTGAAATGTTTGAGATGTAGTTTAGTGAGAGAACGACATGTTTTTGTTGCATATTTTTTAAACAACGTGAGACTGTGGATGCTCAAAGCCTGTGTAAACAGTGTCCATCACTTCCCCTTTCTGAAGGTTTTCCTACAATCACCATCAAAGGGCAAGAGTTGCTGTTCAAAATGCAGAACTTTACAATGGCATGTTGCAAATGGTTTCACTGTTTCCAGACAAAACAATTCTCGATGCCCGCTTGCTACTTTAAAGAAAGATTATTACTTCAGCACATTGGTAGAAGGGCAAACTCTGTCCTTTATAAACTGCTTCTATCTTGGTGACAATTCAACATTGAGACTTCCAATATGGATTGAGTCCACTTGTGAATTCATTTCTTTTGAGTATTTTTCCATTAGGAGCTTCCGCCGGATTTTTGGTTTATGGAGGCCATCATAAGCAAGATGGCACAATGATTATACCTATACTTACATTTAATGCTACGATATCGTGCAGTCATTCTTGCCTGCTTTCTGTTCAAAGATTTTCAAAAAGCTTTTGACAGCCACGTTTGTTACAAATATCTCCGGGTTTCAGAGAAGTTTCAATACAAATTTTCCTTCTATTCTGTACAATACACATTCTAATCAAATGTTAGCCCCTTCTCCAACCCCCCCCCAAAAACAAGAATTTGGTCTGTAAACATTTGGTCACTTTATCTGTGTAACAGGGAGTTAGCAAGTGAAGGCAAGTCGGGCCAGACGTCACCCCGTCCCATCAAGTCAGATCTTCCTCCTGCGATGCCCATTCTCCGTCTTCAACCCCCTGCCTCCTCCTCTGAGGGCTTGGGTGTGACCTTATTGTCCACCAGGTCACTGGAACAGGAGGGTGAAGGTCAGGGTGGTCAGCGAATGTCCAGTCCACCGAGTCCTGTGATCAAGGGGACGGCTGACGGTGAGAGAATGGAAATAGGTAGGTAATGATTTGAAGAAGTGCTTCTAATGAAACTGATCCGTTTATGGAGGATATGTATCCGCAGTCTGATAATTCATATTCATAGTGACGATCGACAGGTGTAACCCCCAAGCATTTTCTTTGTCTCCAGTGGCAGACATTTACATGTCTCATTTCCCATTGGTGGACACACCACACAGTGACCTTGAAGTCTGTGGAGATGGTCAGTTTGTTGAACTTGGTTACTGTGACTGATCTATTGCTCTCTGATCATGCCCTATCAGAGTGTTGCAAACTGTAATGAAGCAGTGACATAGACTGGCACTCTATAGTCAGTATTTGTTGGATTTGGCTTAATATTGAAAGTTGGAAGATTTTGTAGTGCAATTTAAATTTTTTTTTTCAAAAATCACATCGTCTAAGAAACATCACTTCATCCCTTCATTGTGCTAGACTTGTAACTTTATGTACACTTGTTATGTGAGTGGTTTGTTGCCATTCTTTGGCTTATGTTTCCAAGGATTTCTTTCTTATTCTCTACCCATTAGCAATGAGTATGATTCAGTTTGAAGCTGGGATTAAATTTTCAGCAGTATTTTGACATTGAGGATTTATTTTGTCATTTTCAAAGTTTTAAATTGTGTTGTTATTTTTTTCTCACAGTTTACCAACATTGCATTGCAATGTCTACAAGTAAGACCAGCCAGAAGTTTGAAATTTTACTTAGTGAAGTTTCTTGTCATTTCAGATGTCATTTCTTCAAGCAAAATGTTGTTTTTTTCAAATGAATTTTCTTTGCTTTGTCACCGAAGAAGATTTGAAGAGCTTTAAAAGTGGCTTTTAACATCATTAGTTTAGGAGTACTCCAATAGTGTTTCCCCCAAAGGTTTACAGAAAACTTTTCAAAGGTGTTCCTAGTTGTTTACTTGCATGCAAGCCAAGTATCACAGCACTATTCAAGAAATGTTCCTGATGACTATTCCTCAGACCAAGAGACAACCTATACCACCAAGAGTTCAATCCCTGTAGCGCCGAGCACGGACATCTTTGACTCTATGCCCATGAGCGAGACTGGGGGAAAGAAGAAGACAAAGAAGACTGCTAAGTATCAGATCTCGGCGCCTCTGCAGAGTGTGAGTAGAACAGTCCCCTGGGGTGTCGAGATTAGATGTTTAAAGATGGGCTGTAGTGCACCCGCTTTGGTCACACCCAAAGTGTGGCCTAGTAAACTCCGCCCTGACCTTCTTTTTTTATTCCAAAGGCTTTCATGTAACACCTAAAGCTGGTTATTTCCCTTTTCACACGACGACAAAAAAACTTGCTAGGTTTGAGAAATTTTCTCATGCTTGAGAAATCTTACGTAAGTGCCATCGTGTGAAAGGTCGCCAATGCATGAGAGTGACAGGCATTCCTGGTGAATCCTTGAGATATTTTGGAGGAGGTCCGGGCCTACGACAAAATCTTCCGCTAGCGGAAATCTTCCGCTAGCGGAAGATTTCTCAAGCAACCCATGCGAAAGGGTCGTGTGAATGGACGCACTGTTTATTGTACAACGTCCCCTGCGATAACCTACACAGTGCGCATGCGTAGTGACCTGCAACCCCAGTCTGCATGCGCGTGCCCTTTAACTCTGATACCTTTCTCTGTAGCGTCGTTTCAGGTATGTCCTGAAGCAGTGATGAAGTTGGTGCTTAGTGTCTTTAAACAAGGCTCTTAATACACAGTTTGTGCATGTTCATGCTCACCCTGCATGGCACTGGTTGGTTTTGGTGTCAAATTTTACACGGTTGTTGAGTGCACGCATTTACCTCACACATAAAGCTTTGCACAGGAAAAAAGTTGGTCTCACCTGATTTTGGCTGGTTTCAAGTTGCTATTAAGGGGTCATCCATTTTTGCCATCCTTGCTATACAAGAATAGGTCGATGAACAAGGGACCATTTCCCATTAAAGCGTCCTTAGGCTCTACATGCTTTCCCTGACCCTTAATCAATCTGAATGAATGGCATTCAGTCCAGGTATCCAAAGTCAAATTGAACTTCAGTAATTCTAGCTCTAGTGATCCTGCAATAAATCAGATTTTCAAATCAAGTATTCTCCTGTGGATGGATGGATTTATATGGATTTTTTCCCCCATGAGACAACTGGATGAAATGGAAATGCAATAATTCAATGCAGATTGTGGGGGGGGGCAGGTAGAAGCCTAAGTACATTCAGAGCCTAGTCCTGTTTGGGAAATGCAAACAAGTTGGGCTTAAAACAACTTAAGGGAAATACTAATTATCATTAAATTGAAATATTTTTCAATAAGTACATTAAATAAAGTTGAATAAAGTAGAACAACTAAGGAAAAACGTAAGTAAAAACTAAAATGGAAGCTGGACTTGTCCATACCGTTTGTAAAGATGCCGGCAGAGTAGACAGATAACAGACCAGTAATCAAAGGAAATTTTTGATATCAGATTTTGTTTTGTTGCCTGCGCCATCATGCCTCATATGTGCTCAGTGTAGCGCTGTAGCTGTTGGCAAGAGTCCTTGTAGTTAGATGAATGCTTTTGCTTGAATAGCAAAAGAGAGTTGATATTTACCCAATACCCAATCACAGATTGACATGTGGTAAGCTTGTTTATACATGGCCTGATACCAGAGAGTTGATTTGGTGAATGTGTGCTACCTTCTTGAGGTAAGCTGGCTGATCATGGTAAAGAAAAAAGGGCATATAAACAGAAACGTAGCGTTTGGAAATTCAGTCATTGAGCAACTATGCTTGATAGTTTGCCTGTTTCACCAAATTGGTCTTACACAGACTAGTTATAAAAAAACAGGTGTGCTTTACAGGTAACTGTCCTTGTCCAGACCTAACTGTTCAAGCATGAATTGACCAGGTTGGTTGATTGGTGGATTGTTAACTGGTTCCCACAAGGTAGCCAGTCACAGTAAGCTTTCTTTGTTTTTACCTGCAGTGACATAATTTGGGGGAGTGTGGAACCACTTAAACACCGATAACTTCACTCATATTTTGACATTTTTCCATGGTTTGACCTAGTACAGTTCATGGAATAGTAGCTCTGAGTAACAATTGTTGCAAATTTGCTTGCTCATGGACACAAGATCCAGTATAATCTGAAGATCCTGTCGTACAATGGAAGGTTTCATTTTACCCTTCTTTGTTTCATAGATGGAGCCCGGTAGGAAACCTCATCAAATCGAGGATCGTCCAATCACAGAGTGGAACACAACGCATGTGTCCCAGTGGCTGATGGGTAACAGCCTCGATGAATACATTACTGAGTTCACAGCCAACAACATAACTGGGCCAGTTTTGCTTACTCTAGATGCTGCCAAACTCAAGGTTTATTTTCCTTTTTTTTCTGTTTCCTTTTTTTTGATATCATTAAGGCCATTCTGTACCATATACTTATTTACATTAGATATCTAGGTCTGTTTTCATTGTCCCTTTAACCACTTCATGCCGGGGCATTTTTCAGTGTTGATGATGCTGGGCCAGCATGACTATCATTTTTTCCGTTCTTAAATCCTTCAAAAATTCATCATTTCATAAAACGGTCGTTTATAGCCGCACCGAATAATCTTTAGGCACTACTCTAAGTTGACAGGT